GCTCCACCGGCTGCCAACGCATCCAAACAACCGGCGATGTATCCAACTCCGTCTGAGTCGAGTATCGGCGAAATTACGTTGCAAGAATGGAACGATCATGTAAGCATCGAAATTTCATCAACCATTCCGTGAAATATACGCTGAGAAAACTGTTAACAAGACTTTTTCACCGACAGTATCGTAATTCGTTAATGCATCAGTCAGAATTACGGTAGACGCGATTACTTTAAGAATAAAAATTGTGAAATGCACTTGAGAAATTCTCGATGAGAAGAGTCGTTGATGCAAGTGTCAGAACTGGACAACTTGGGCAGCGAGTTTAGAGCTCCGCGGAGACGCGTTAATGATAATGCCACGAGAAACGTCTCTGCGCGTATTGCAAATGTTGAGTAAACGTCTTGGAATGTCGAAGAAAATGGAAAAAAAAAAGAATAAAAAAATTAGTCGCTCGATTTCAATAAATCTGTCTGACCTTATCTTTCGCTCGCGTTGCATAACGGAGGATCGAGGAAGTTCACTCGGAAGTGAGGACATCGTTATTCTGCACTGACTCAACACCTCTTCTCTTCTTTTTTTATCCTTGATAACGCGTAAACAGTTCACGTTTATTCAAATAAGCGAGCAAGTTCAACTTTCAAACGTTTGCAAACTCTACTCCTGCGGAGAATTGTCCGTTGAAAATATTCCATCGAGTATTTCTCCCGGTGTTTGTCGTTTTTTATCGCGAACGAATAAATAGAAGTAGAATTGTTGGAACAATTTCAGGTGAACAGTATCATCGTTAAAGGTATAATGAAATTTTCCCTGGATATGGAAAGAGAAATTTACAATACTCGAGGCAGCGCCTTAACGGGACAACGGGATAACATAGTTTTCTCGCCGATCAGCCTTGCCGTGACAATGGCGATTGTTCTCGCGGGTTCTGCTGGCAGAACCTTCGAGGAAGTGTCCAGGGTTCTTGGATTCGAGACTGGAATCGATATCTCGAGGAATTCGGAAATTGTTCACCAGATGTTTGGATTATTGTTAGGTCAACTTCATCATAAGATATCCGACGGATCTGGACCTCGCGTAGATTTTGCTACAGCGTCATACGTGCAGGTGAAGTTTCATTTTTCAGAAGGAAATTATACTTCTCGTTTAACCCTTTCGGAACGATCGACTCGTATATGCATTCATGAAACACTGTGAAATGCAATTAATACACTCACGTATTTCCGAACGATAAAGATAGTTACTCGTGCACATTCTGGACTAGAAGTTTGGGTTCACCTGCCAATTTGCGTTAATACTGAATCTGCTATTAATTTTGCATGAATTAATATTACACTGTATTAATAATTAGAAAAAAAATTCTTAAAGTTGCTAATACTTTTCTGGAAATTTTTGTGTAACTTGCACAAAAAATGGTACCAAAAAATGTATACCTATCTAGAAGTGTATATCTCAATGTGGAACACAGTCCTGCCTCCGCAAAGGGTTAATTTAATTTTTCTTTTTTTCTTTTGTGACTATCGCTATTTTGTCTATATTATTTTAGATATACTCGCAGGCATAAATACATAAATTAATTAATTAATTAAATAAATGAATAAATTTGCATCGAATGAAATGAACAATTGGTTAATTTTAGTCTTATTGATGTAACACTAGGATGGGTACCCGATACTACAGCAGTTCAAGACACTTAGTAATGCCGTGTACGACAACGACGTGATCAATGTAGACTTCGCTAGAAACGGAAAAGCTGCGGAGGATCAGATAAACGATTGGGTAAAACAGAAAACAATGGGCAAAATCACGAGTATCCTAAATGGCATACCGCCACCAGAAACCACGGTTATTCTTTTGTCGGCGCTTTATTTCAATGGAGAATGGAAGCAACACTTTTTGCAAGGAGGTACCAAAAGGTTCGTCATCGAATGTTTCTTTCTTAAGTTCGCGTATAACATAATTTTACAACTACTTTAAATACTTCTAGAGTTGACTGTTTAATAATTGAATATTGTTGGTTCATTCAGAAAACCGTTTTATATTGAACCAAACGAGGCAATTGAAGTCGACTTGATGTACAAC